TCTTGAACCCATTCGATCCGAAAATTCGGATATCCAAAAATTTCGTATCATATAAAACTCATTCCATCTCCGATCCAAAAATATTCGGATATTTGAAATTCGGATATCTGATTTTTCAGATCGGATCACTGGATTATCCGAAAAGTTGAGTTTTAGCCAAAATTTACAAAAAAAGGTAAAATAGCAAAATCAACCCAAAATATCAAATTCAATAGGAAAAATTGATATAAATACTCTCAGAAATTTGAAATTTTACAATAATACTCCCAAATTTAATAAAAGACTCTGGTGCTTCCAATTAAACTATAAGTTTACATTACTACTCCCACTATGCCTAATCAGCTTTTCTTATGCTTACATTTAAGTAATTATGCTTAGTTGACATCTTAGTTTTTTTGTTTTAATAAGAGAAAAAAATTATATAAATGCTCATAAAAATTCAAAATTTTAAAACAATTCTCCCAAAATCAAATAAAGACTCCAGTTCTCCCAAAAGTATATTCTTGTTGCATGTTACTATATTTGACTGAAATTATTTTTAAAGTATTTTATATGAAAAATGATGTGAAATTAAAAAATAAAAGTTACATATTAAAAAACTAATATAGTAATATGTAAAAATAAATTTTTTAGTAATATTAAAGATTAATTAATTCAGCTTAATTGGCATCTTAGTTACTCCGTATTTTTTTATATTTTAATAAAAAATACCCCCTTCGTCCAAAAATTATCTTCCTATTCACTATTAAGAGTATTAAAAAGATCAAATTTTATTTACTTTGCTTACCTATTTTAATTATATACAGTATTTCATAAAATAATATAATTATATCATTACTAGTTTTATAGATCTTATGATGTAGTTTTTAGATATATAATTTTATTTATTGATTTCACACCACTTTTATTAAACATCATAACACGTAAAAGGAAGATATTTTTTAGAGTATTGGAGTCTTTATTTGGTTTTGAGAGTATTATTGTAAAATATTAAATTTCAGGGAGTATTTATATAATTTTTTCTCTTATTAAAACAAAAAAAACAATTAAGATGTCAACTAAGCATAATTACTTACATGTAAGCATAAGAAAAGCTGATTATACATAGTGGGAGTAGTAACGTAAACTTATAGTTTAATTAGGAGCACCAGAGTCTTTTATTAAATTTGGGAGTATTATTGTAAAATTTCAAATTTCTGAGAGTATTTATATCAATTTTTCCAATTCAATATAGATTTACTAAAAGAAAAATTCCACCACTTGGTAATGGCCTAATAAAAAATGACACCAAATTTAATTTGGGAGTAACTTTGGTAATTTTACCTAAACAAACAAAAAAATACTATTAAAACAAAAAATTCTAAAATGCTAATGCAAAAAGTCCAAATAGGTTGAGTTCCAAATCAACATAAAATTACATTTAAACATATAGTCATAATATATCCATAAAATTCCAAAAACATATAGCAAAAAAAATCGGATATCCGATTATCCAAAAAATTCCAGAAATTGAATCTATATTCGATCCGATTTTTCTCGGGTATCCGATCCAAAATATCTAAAAGCTAAAATATCAGATCGGATATCCATTTCTCGGATCGTGGACGGATATTTCGGATCGGATATTTTTGAACACCCCTACCTGCACCCCACCCCTTTAGTAAAAAACTAACTTTTTTAAAGAGTAAATTACATAAAAGATCCTCAATTATAGGTCGTTTTACATATTTAGTCCCTACATATCAAATATTACTAATTTAGTCCCCAATTATTGGATTAATTTCCACGAATGGTTCTTTGTTAATATTTTCGTTAAGAACGTAAATAAAATTGTAAATCCACACTCCTTTCTCTCCTCAGTTAAGCATCCTCCCTCCCTTCGCACTTCTTTCCCAAACCCGTCACTGAGTTTGAAGATTTAAACCCAAAACCGAAACCATCACTCTTCTCTCAATTGTTTGTCGAACTAGTGGAACCCAAATTCGAAACCAATAACTTTCATGGATGAATTTTAATGTTTATTTTCTTTGCAATTTCTTGAGACTAACCGATAAAACTCATCCATAAAGCTTATTGGCTTTGATTTTAGGTTCCACCAGGAAGACTAATAATTGAGAAAGGAGTGATCATTTCCGTTTTGGGTTTAGAGCTTCAAACTCAGCGATGAATTTGGAAAAGAGTACGAGAGGAGGGAGGAAACTTAATTGAAGAGAGAGAAGTATGAATATACAATTTTATCCATGTTCTTAACAAAAACGTTAACAAAGGACCATTCGTGAAAATGATATAATAATTGGGGACTAAATTAGTAATATTTGATATGTAAGGACTAAATATGTAAAACTATCTATAACTAAGGACCTTTTATGGAATTTACTCTTTTTTTAAAGGAACATATCATAAATAAAACTAATTGTATTTTATCATATCATAAAAAAAATACTTGTATGAAATTGATTCAGGAGTAAAAAAATCTTATTTATTAATTAAAAGTTTTATTATAAAAGAGAGTAGAAAATATTAAGATGGAAAAGTATATTATCATTAAATCGAATGTTACTTTTCTTTAATTAAATTTATTTAAAGATTTCATACTGAAATATTAATTAAGTGGCATATTAGATTATTAGCAATCAAAATAAATAGGGAGAAAGACTAAAGTAAGACTAAAACATTGAACATATACCAAAATAGGACTTTTATGTTTTTATTTCCAAAATAGGACTTACATTACCAAACATTGTCATGTACATTACAAAAAAAAGTATAGTAATGTGCACATGTACAGTGCCACATTACCACAGTGCAAAGTCCTATTTCGGGAAAAAAAATGAAAGTGCTATTTTGGTACTTTTCTTTGTGTTTTAGTTCTATTTTAGGGTGATTTCCAAAATAAATATAAAGTTTTTTTCGGCTCATTTAATTTTTTCCAAACCTCTTTTGATTCCTTCCACAGTGATTTAAAATTTACAACTCCAATGAATAAATGAGATGCACGCATAGACGGATCCATTCATATGTAGTTGGGGGTCATTGCCCCCTACTACTTTTTTATTTTAAGTTAAATTTTAACTTTTTTAAATTTACATAATTAAGGACCCCAACTAAAAATATTAGAGACTCTAATAGGGTTGGGTCGGGAAAACCGAAAACCGAACCGAAATCGATCGAAACGAGCTAGAAAAAAAAATCGAACCGAAAAAACCGAAACCGAATGTAAAAAAATCGAACCGAACCGTTATTGTTTGGTTCGGTTTTGGTTTTTTACTTTGAAAAACCGAACCGAACCGAATAAACCGAACTTATTTATATGCTTCATTTTATTTATACGAGTATATGTGATATGTATAAAAATCATATAAACAAAAATGCAAATAAATTGCTAGTCAATTAAAGTTTTTTTCTTAACTATTAATTAAACATTTTAACCATATTATAAACTTTAAAAAATCTAAGAATATAAACACCAATAACTAATCCTAATATAGAATTATATAACATTAAAAATTAAAATGAGTAGTTAACATATTTAAATAAAAGAAACTTTGATGTATAATGAAAATGAAAGTATTATATTAAAAAAATCCAAATTCTCTACAATTGATTTTACATACAATATCTTTAAGATTATTTAGAATCTTCTAGATGTTTCTTAGACACTTGACACATATTTTGTATATAAAATTGAACCAATGAGAACACTAACCTTCCGCTCGGCTTTTTTGTGTGTGTAAAAATCAAGTAAAAAAACCAAACCCAAACTTACGTATTGTTATTGTTTCGTCGAGTTAGTATTTATACAATTTTTAATGCTTATAAATATTTACTTTTATAAACCGAAAAAACTTAAAATAAAAATCGCATAAAACCGAACCGAATAACCAACGGTTTACATATTTTGTATGCAAAACCGAACCGCCAATTTACCTTCCGTTTTGTCTTTGGTTTTGGATAAAAACCGAACCCACCCCTAGACTCTAATTTAAAGTAACAATAGAGACGCCAATTGGTATATTAAAAGAATAGATTTTTAAATGAAATATTCAAAAATGATAAAAATAAAATCTAAAATGAAAGTGTGAGACATAAAATATACTGAGTAACAATCAAACGAAGTTAATAGGTAGATTGTGTAGTCCATAAATTTAATTTGTTGTTTTTGAACTTTTTATTTACTATTTAAATACTAAATTCTTCCCAGGTATTTTAAACATGAAAGATGCAATTAAACAGATGATATCGGGAGGTCTAACTGTAATTATAAAATAAAACATATTTGTCACACTGTGTTTGTCTTTCAAATATAGATTATGAAACATTAATGCTATTCATTCTATATTTTACAGTTTACTATATTTTGAAAGCTCCGTTATAGTTCTTCTTACACGGTAGTATTAACATAAGAGCAAAGGCAGTGGCGAGACATTGCCTCCCACGCTCTGTCACCTCAGCCCCTTTTCTCCTAATGCCTCAAATGACATCCTCATTCCTCCATGGTTTGAGTCATGAGCAACTCAAAGCAAGACACTCCTTTCCCAATTTTTTTAGGTTTGTTTTTATTTTTTTTGTACAATAGAGAGGAATTTTTATAAGTACATCTATTTTTATTAAAAAAGGATAAATAAAAATATTTTTATAGTTAAAATATATCAAAAAAGTATAAAAAGTTAGAAAATATCGACTTGTCATTGCATAAAATGTCAGTCTTCTTACTTGTTACATGCTAACTAGACTATTTCTGATTAGTTAAAGAATTTCATGTCATCGTATGATAATTTGTTTTTGTCTAGACATTGCATATGCTCTTAAGATAAGCCAATGTAAAATTGTAAAGAGAACATTACCAAAGGGGATCTCTTCCTTTCTTTCTTAGGGAGGAATTTTTATTTACTTTTTAATTGAATTTCAAAACGAGCATAACGATGCAACCAATTTTGAGCGTCCATTTTCAGGGCATTACCCAAATCGCTGCTCTCTCGTCGTCATCAGCGCGGCAGACGAAGAAATCGAGTTTCGCAAAACCGGAGGAAGAAACACAGATTCCCAAGTTCCGACCAGCCAGTTGATTTCTTCTGAGTTTTTCGTTCTTCTTCCTCGGTTCGATGTCGCTGAGAATAAAAGCCGTGGTGGACAAGTTCGTGAAGGACCTGAAGGAGGCGCTGGATGCGGACATACAGGACCGGATTCTGAAGGAGAGGGAGATGCAGAGTTACATCGAAGAACGTGAGCGCGAGGTCGCCGAGCGCGAGGCCGCCTGGAAAGCCCAGCTCTCCCGCCGCGAGGCAAGTCCCCCCCTTTTCTTCTTCCATTCAATCCTTTTTTTTGTGTGTTTTGAAATTCTCATGTATTAATTTTGAATTCTTTTCATGTTTTGGCAACTTAAGCATCTTAAGTTCACCATCATGCTTATTGAGAATTAAGTTTGACCATGTGAATAGTGTCTGGATCTATGGTGGACAGAACATTTTAAGCTCACTCCTTAGAGATGAGAAGGGATGGACATGGTGTACGACTTCAGGGTTATATTGGGTATATGACCTTAGATTAGAATGTACGGGATCTAGGATTATAATTGTTGGGTAGATGACATCAGTTTGAAGTTCATGATGGTTGTTTTTACATTGGTGTGGAGCTTGTATGTGTTTTGGTCCGTAGCTAGCATGGGTTTTGTGCTTATTGTCTCTGCCCTCTTACTTTGTTTGTGCTACTTTGTGTACTTTGTTTGTGGGTCTATGTTCAAGCCGGAATGCTGGATGTCTCTTAGAAATGGTCTCTCTACTTTCGAGTTGGGGTAAGGTCTCCATACACACACCCTCCTCAGACCATACTTTTCGTGGCATCTTACTGGGTTTGTTGTTGTCAATGTCTCATCAATAACTTGTTGCAGTTGACAAAGAATTCAGATATTTGAAAAATGAGTTTAGTACCAAAATCACTAATCTTGTCCATGGAGACTAAAAGTTAACATTTCGTTGGAACACACTAATTGTTTTGCGCATGACAATTGCCAACTAAGTCTGTTTCACCAATAAAAGATCAAACTTTCATTTGGGTATCATTCCATTATCTTTCTTTGGAAAAGAATGCAGCATTTGATTGACCTTTGTTCATTCATACACACACTACAACAGGCTGAGATTGCCAAACAAGAAGCAAGGCTAAAGATGGAAAGAGAGAGCCTTGAGAAAGAGAAAAGTGTACTTATGGGAACCGCCTCATGTCAGGACAACCAAGACGGAGCTCTTGAAATAACTGTCAGCGGGGAAAAGTACCGCTGCCTTCGCTTCGCCAAGGCAAAGAAGTGATGAACATCAACCTGTTTGGATGTTGAAATTAAGGTATGGAATTGGAATTGTGGTTAGGAATTTGCAGCTCTTTTGTTTGGACAAATCATTATGGGTTTGATTGATTATAGTCTCATATAATTCTTTTCAATTCCTATTTGCGCCCCAGCCAAATCTAGTGATTATATTGTTTTTGTATGTCATGTGTATATGATTAGAAATGTTCACTAAGTGAAAGAATGATATACATCTTGGCTACCCATAGTTGTTTAAACTAATAAACTTTGTTTCTGATATATATAATGATTGCCTCACTATGATAGATGGAAATAAACCACTAGTAAAAGTAAAGGATCATGCTGCAGTTACACCACGGATGAGACTACTAGTGTTTTACCAACATTCATTTTTCACAAACGTTGACTCTATACTTGACTGTCTTTGGTGTCACTCTTGGTGTCATCCCTGAGGTTAAAGTAGCATTGTTGAAAAGTAAATTACTCAAGTACGACGAAGTGTCCTGCTTCAAGTGATGGTGTAAATTACGTAACCGGGTAAACAGTGCTAGACTAGATCTAGGATTATTTACTAGATTTGTAAAATAAAAGATAAAACACACAAAGTAACTGAGAGGACTGTAGGTGGAAACACCTGTAGCCCAATTAATGTTATGAGTATAGGAGAATGCACGGGAGCTTTTACACGGGAGTTTTAGAGAGAAGAAATCGGATCCCTTCCTTTGAGGGTTACACATGTATTTATACTAATGCTAAAGGGGACAAAGCGCCGCTCATCCACGTCAAGGCACGTTCTTGGGTGGTGAGAGGTGATTCAGTGATTGTCATTGTCCTCTAGCTGCCTTGTCGTTTAGTGAGGAAGGTGGCTTCTTTGTCACGTAGTGTTTTGGACGGATTACTCAAGTATCTCCAATGATTCTCTGTTGATCATGGTCGCTACCGTCCAAACTCTTTTGAATTCTTCTTTGCCAACACTTCCCAACCTTAGAAATCATACCAAGTGATTTCTGTAGTAGCACGAGTAACTTTAATGGATCACTGGAGACAGTTTCAAATCCAAACAATTTTATTTTCATGTATACACAATGTTTTTCAGATCCAAACAATTCTTTATCATTCAACTTTTAAAAGTCTTATCCATCTATACTATACTTAAAGGCATGGAAAATCAAGCCCCAAATTTTCCAACCGAAGGTTTGTGGCACAATCCACCATTGATGCGCCATCAATAATTAATCAACGGCTATGCATTGAGATGCATGTGTTAATCCCAAAAAATGGAATGACTCTTCATCTCTTACATAACTTCCAGATAGCGATGACAATGAGTCGGGTTTGGCCGGGTTTTAGTTTATTGAAAACCGACGCGATTTTAGTCGGATTTGAGTTTCTTTTTGTCGGGTCGAGTTCGAATATTTTTTTTTTTCGGATTTGGTTTAAGATTCAGTCAGGTCGGTAACGGTCAAATTTGGATTTCAATACTAATAAATGCATTCATGATTAAATTAAGATTGAAATACATTAATTTTTTTTAAATATGACATAAAAGTTAAGATATTAGCAAAAATAATTATGACCGCATGACCATAGCAAAATTAAATACTGTAATAAATTCTCAGCTAATAATATAAGGAGTACAAAGAAAATAAAATAAGAATGTCACAAAATTTTTTCACAATAGAAAATAAAACACAAAGAAATGCAATAAGTTTTAATACATTCAAAACATATGTATCAAAAATAAATGAAACATAGGGATTTAGAGTTTTTTTAAAAGCTTATTTGTAGTCGTGTTCAGGTTGTTTTGGATCGGGTCGGTCAAATATAATGACCGAAACATGACCCGACAAAGGTCGGATTCAATTTAAATTTTTCGGGTCAGGTAAGAATATTTATTTTTTTCGTTCAGATTCGAATATTATAAACTTTGGTCGGGTCATTAAACGTTGGAATAGAATTGTCCTCCCTAATTACGGAGTATTTTTATTACAAACACAGCCCTTGGCTGGCTGACCGCATCTAATAAGTCAATAACACAATAGATGAACAATAAATTCTAATCTAAATACTTTAGGCTCTTCAACCGCTTGCCTAGGAGTGAGCATATTATCCGAACCGATCATGCAACTAATGTAAAAAAAACTGAAATGCCCGAAATTTTCGATTTCGGCTAGTAGTCGTCTAAAAAGTCGGTCACTTCGGTTAATCGATCGGTTTCTAGGTTTGGGCTTATAACTGGATATCCTCAGATTCCTGGTTATTTGGGACCTTATAGAGGAGAGAGATATCATCTATCAGATTTTTGATAAGGAAGACGAGTATCAGGCAAAAAGGAGATATTTAACAAAGCTCATTCTTCCTTACGAAGTGTGATTGAAAGAGCATTCGGAGTTTAAAAAGTAAATGGACTATGTTAAAAATCATGACAAATTATCCGTTTCCTAAACAAGTATTAATAGTGATCGCTTGTATGGCTTTGCATAACTACATACGACGACATGCTGGTAGCAAAGATTCCGATTTTTCTAAATTTGAAGACGAAGATGATGAGTTCGAGGAAGATTCAGATAATAATGAAAGTTCTACTAATCATCGTAGTGGCACCAATGAATCACAAATGAAGTTGCTTAGAGATGAAATAGCAGACAGTTTGGTGAGATACAGAGTCAATTTTTAAATATTCTTTTATCAAATTGCATATGTAATAAGACCTTATTAAGTTTATTTTTTTAAAAAATATAATGTTTAGTTCTTACGGTTTACTAAACTATTACTCTATTGTTCTATTCTAAATGTATTAATAAATCATTTTTTTCTGAATGGTTCCCTCTAAAAAAAACTATTTTAACAACTTGCTAACCTAAAAATAAAAAATATAATAACAAATGTAAAAGAATCACCCGAACCACACAAAAATTAGCTAACTTTTAAAATACAATAGTACATGTTCAATTGGGTATTTTAGTAATTTACCGTTCATAAGCTTTTTTAAATATGTAACTGCCAAACGATAAAAAATCAAACAGCTAATCACTAAATGCAAACAGCTAAACTCTAACTCTAATTTCTAACTCTAATCTCTGACTCTAAACTCTGACGCTTTTCCCAAACAGGCCATCCTTAAACTACCCAAATGAGACTACACTACAAACTTCGTTACTGTCGTTAGGGGTACACCAACATGGGGTACCCCAAGTGTACACCAAGCCAAGAAAGACATACACAGACACAAAATGTCTGTATTGCACAAACATTTTATGTCGTCTGTGTACACTTGGGTCTAACAGCCTATTTTTTTACTTCTGTTCACTTCTTCAGTTTCGGTCGATTTTTAGATAGTGTAAAAACTACTCGGTGCTCCCCTAAGCTTGCCCATTCCTTTCCATCGTCAAGAAGAGTGGGAAGAAGGGCAAACTTGTCAAGAAAGGATTCTATTTTCAAATTGAAAATCAAACTGGGTTCACAGATAAACGACGCCGAGTATCAGGCTAGGGTTTCGACCCATGGGCGACGGTTGAATTCCGGCACACGGCTAAGGACGGCGGCGTTGGTTCAAAGGCGATGTGTGGACTCAGAGAGGACGCCATGGGAGTGAGAAAGGGGAGTCCTCTTCTTCACTGCTTTTTACACAGGGACGTGCTCAGGGGAGGCAGCTTTAGTAGCTTCAAAGTCTTTAAAGGTGAGAAATCTAATTTTTTTAAAAAAAAATTCCAACTTTTCGTAATATCTGTTATAGATTGAATTCTTGATTCCAGTTTTGGATATGTATGTTTATGGTGTGTCGGTGTGTTAACAACAATTGAGTATTATTCCCCCATGAAAACAGATCACTTAATTCAAATAATTTTAAGATGTATGAGATTATTTTAGGGGGCTATTAAACAAATGGAGTGGAGATGTTCATAAAGTTCAAAGAGGATGTCAAATTTGGCCGTGTACTCCGAACATGGCTTCTGATTTCCAGCAGAGATAACCCGTGCTTCCATAGTTCCATTGTACTTCATAGATAAGCTCACATATACACAGTTGATATTGATTGCCAATTCGGTAAAGCAAGATGATGAAAGAAACTCTAATTTGGAAAATGCAGCCATTCAGTATAACATACCTTACACACTTTGATGATTTTTCCATTTCACAATGATTGTTTCTTTTAAATTTAAGTTGATTTTGTGCCCAACTTCTTTGAATTATGATAGTATAAGAAATGACTCCATCCGTTCCATTTTAACTACTCTGTGTTGTTTTATTTGTTCTGAAATAGATGTTTCTTTTTTCAGAATATTTTCCCCACTTCTTAGATCTATGAGACAAGCGGTAATGAGGTGTTTTTAAAGTGAAAACAAATGTGCAGAAGCTCTTACTTAAGAGGATGAAGCCCTTGAGATTTCATTGTATATTGAATTAAATATCATATAAAAATTACCCATAATATGGGTGGAAGGAATACCATAAAAACACTATTTGATTAAAACATTAGGCACATTTTTTGCTCTCAGAAATTGCTTTTATAAATTCCAACTTTCAATGGCTAAGGAAATTTACTAAAGACCGTAGAGTCACACACCATGCCAAATTTACCTTGCCGCCAAAATAATCACCAAAATTTCCTTCCAGCAATCAGTGATATTAGAGAACACAGAAAAAAGATGACTGCCTTTAGCTACATATCAATCACTTAAAAAATAAAAGGTTTATCAGAACCTAAATGTTTCTCAAAGGTTTACTAATGACTGCCAGCATTATGGATGAATCATGAGTAGCTATTTTTTTCAACATATATTTGCCACGTTTAACAGAAGCTAAATGTCTCTCTTAAGTGTTGGCTACTAATTGCCACGTTTAAATATAAGCTCCTAATTACCCATTAGCACCCTTTAGTCAAAGGTGTTGAGTTTCCTCTATGGTTTGGTGTTGAGTTTACTGACCAATTTGTAGTAGGATAATAGCATGATTCTGTAATGTTATATTAGAACATTAGCTTTGAGAAATATGGAGTAATAAAATACCAAATTTCTTGATGTTTATCTTAACATTATTGTTTTTCTATTTAAGTTTATTCTTAAGAAAAGTTGATCATTTATTTCCTGTTTGCATCTTAAATGTGTTTTAAAGTTCATAAAGTTATTGATATCTTTGTTCCAGAGTTACAAATCGTCGCGGATTGAAGATTCTAATTTGCAACAAAGTAAATGTACCCATGAAATGTACCATTAATTACTCAACGAGTAAGTTTTTGAGAATTTGTAATTTCTATAAATTTTATGTTTTGATATAAGAATGTTAGTAGTATTTTTTAGTTGTTGCCCCATCAATAGTACCCTTCTTTAATACTAACACAATTAAATGATTATATATTGAAATTGCCTGCCATGCAACGTACAGGTGTGATACTAGTTGTCTGAAACTACTCGAAAGTTTTAATCTTTGAAGCTTCTTTCAAATGGTTATTTTCTTTCCGCGCACCCGGTGCTCGACGAATTGTCTGAACGAATCACTTAACAGACTGCTATCAACTACATCTACTAATATTAATATCTCTCGAGCCCCTGCGACGAATTTCATAAATGAACGGTGGAGCAATGATTACATTATCTCTTTGTGCAAACGCAAGCAATTTAGAAGAGCTCTCGAGGCGTTCGAGCAATTACAGAGGACTACAAGTTTCCACGTATATCCCAGCACCTATACTAATTTGTTATCGGCCTGCTCATCGTTACAGTCATTAGAATCTGCAAGAAAGCTATACAACAATGTCTTAATGTCTGGTTATAAGCCAGATGTGATATTTCATAACCATGTTCTTAATATGTTTGGAAAGTGTGGATCAATGAGGGAAGCTAGGAGGGTATTTGATCAAATGGTGGACCGAAATGTGGTTTCTTGGACTTCAATCATTGCCGGGTACTCCCAAAATCACCAGGAAATGGAAGCAATAGGATTGTATTTCTGGATGCGAGAGTTGGGAATCATGCCTGATCCGTTCACTTTTGGGAGCTTATTAAAAGCTTGCTCTAGCTTGGGTAAGCTGGAGTTAGCAGAGCAGTTGCACGGCCAGGTCATCAAGTCAGCACATGGGTCCCATCTTATCCCTCAGAATGCATTGGTAGCAATGTATACAAAGTTTCGTAAGATTTGCGAGGCAGTGAATGTGTTTTCTCATATCAAGTCAAAGGACCTAATCTCGTGGAGTTCAATAATTGCCGGGTTTTCGCAACTTGGGTATGAGTTGGACGCTCTGTATCACTTTAAGGAGATGTATGGTTTGGGCATTTACCACTTGAACGAATTTATTTTCGGCAGTGTTTTCAGTGCATGCAGTGGTCTTGTGCAGCCCGAATACGGGAGACAAGTCCATGGTATCTGTGTAAAATGTGGGCTTGGAAAAGATATTTATGCCGGTTGTTCTCTTGCTGACATGTATGCAAGATGTGGCCTGTTAGAATCTGCAAAAACTGCATTCTACCAGATAGAAAACCCTGATTTAGTGTCTTGGAATGCAATTATTACTGGTTTTTCTTCTAACGGCGATTCTAATGAAGCATTAATTTTATTTTCACAGATGAGGCATGCTGATTTGGCTCCAGATGATCTCACGATGCGCTCTCTCTTGTGTTCCTTTATTAGTCCCTTCACGCTGTCTCAGGGAAAGCAGGTACATTGCTTTATAATCAAGACCGGGTTTGATTCAGACATTCCAGTATGTAATACATTGATTTCAATGTATTCAAACTGTTCAGATCTTTCAAGCGCAGATATGATGTTCAATGAAATTAAACACAATGCAGATCTAGTTTCATGGAATGCCATTCTCACAGTTTATATACAACACAACAAGGCCGAAGAAACTTTGTCCTTGTTTAAGATGATGCTTCGTCAATCTCCTAATAATAAGCCAGACCACATTACTCTAGTCAGTGTGATCAGTGCTTGTGGGAAGTTGGCATTTTTAGAAATGGGAAACCAAACACATCTCTATGCTTTGAAAACCGGGCTTGCTCTGGACCCCACAATCAGTAATGGGCTAATCGACATGTATGTGAAATGCGGTTCTTTGGGAAATGGCAGGAAGCTCTTTGAGGCTTTGGAAATTGCTGATGTGTTTTCATGGAGTAGTTTGATTGTGGGGTATGCTCAGTTTGGACAAGGCAAAGAAGCTTTAAAGCTCTTTGGGGAAATGAAGGATTTAGGGGTCGAACCAAGCCAGGTGACGTTTGTTGGGGTCTTAACGGCTTGTAGCCATGTTGGATTGGTGAAGGAGGGTTGGCATTTGTTCAAACAAATGGAAACAGAGCACGGCATTGTACCCACAAGGGAGCATTGTTCATGCGTGGTTGACATGTTTTCCCGGGCTGGATGTATAAACGAAGCAGAAGCTTTTATAAACCAAATGCCTTTCGAACCAGACATTGTGGTATGGAAAACAATGTTGTCAGCCTGTAGAACTCACAACAATCTTGAGGTTGGAAAGAGGGCTGCACAGAATGTTTTGAAGATCGACCCGTCCAACTCTGCTGCACATGTGCTGCTGTGCAACATATATGCCTCCACTGGGAATTGGAAGGACTTTGCAACAGTGAAAGGTTTGATGAGACAGAACGGCATAAAGAAAGTCCCGGGTCGGAGTTGGATTGAGCTCAAAGATGGGACACATGCCTTTTTGGCTGGAGATCGTCTGCATCCCGAAAGAGAGAAAATATATGCAATTCTTGATGAGCTTTGCTCCCAAATGTCGGATGCCGGTTATGATCCTCTGATTCATGTAAGAGATTCAGAAGTACTTAACTGTTAAGATTCACTTGGTGGTGATTCCATTCTAAAAGGCCAATGTGATTGAATGAAGCAACACAATGCTTCATAGATTTATCATGACTTGACATGTTTTTATGTGAATCAAGGAGAAGAGATAAAAGGAAATGAACTATTCAAGCAATAAGAAAAAAACAAACCCAAGAAAATCCCTCGAAAATCGGGTCTATAAGGAACATGATGCTGGAGGAAAATAGGGATCTACAGAGACAGCTTTTGCAGAAACATGCAAAAGATCTTGAGGGTTAGTTTCATTCTCTCTTGCAAACTTTCTTTATCCTTTTATTTTGTTCATAAGAAGGGTGATGATGAAAACTAAAATAGAATTTTGAAACCCATTATTCTGGTCTCTGGATGATCAAAAGTTCAACTTTCTCTAACCAGTTTCTTGATTTATTTTACAGAAACTCAGAAAAGGACATGTCATATAACCTCATCAAAGATCTTCCAATCTATTACTGTTTATGGATCCAACCAATCTACAAAGAGACTGGAGCTGGTCAGAACGGGCGGGCAGGTGCCCGGAGGAGAAATAATTACTGAGAATTCTAATAGCAATTGTCATTCTTGATTTTTTCCCCTCATGAATACTGTTATCAATGAACATTAAAAAAAAAGATCCGACCTTTTGTTCTGAACAGATAGTATTCATAGTTATATGTTTGCTCTGCATTTCATCAGAAATTTTAATGGTGCTAATGTCCATTTTTTAAAAATACATATTGGTTTGTAAAACTGATACTACAATTTGTGGAATCTAATTGACCAACTGTGCATGTTGTTGTTAGAGCACTGGAAATACCGGGGTTTAAATCTTCTCTCACATCAGTTGTAAGCTTGTGACTCTTTTTTAACTTACACTATAGTTTCACTGGAAATGCTGGGCTTTAAATTGAAGCTTCAAACATTTCTTTTTTATTTTTTTTTTTTAAAATACACTTAATAAAAGTAAATTAATAAGATTTTATTAATTAATTAATTTTAAACTGCAATATTTCATTAAATAAAAAATACATTCAATAAAAAAAGTATCTTAAATTTAAAAAATAGACCGGATGGAATGCCGGGTGGAGGACTCATGATAAAATTTAAAAAATAAAAGAGAAAGTTGAAGATTTTTTTCTCGATTTCAAATTTCTTAGCGGTTTTTTCGTTTTTTTCTTCATATTGAGTAAACAAGTTTATTCAGTCAAACACCCGCGTTTAACGCAAACAAAATAACGCCGGCTTTAACTACAAAGGTGGGTCGTGTTTAACACTATTGAGACTTTAAAACATGTATAATGGGGGCAACGTTAAGAATATTTCCAGTGCCCTTATTGTACTCATGTTTTTTTCGTGTGGATAGAACTTCATCATTCTTCTTCTTATTATTCTTATTGTTGTTATTATCATGATCTATCATAATTTGGCCAAACATTTCTTAACACTTCATCTTTAAAAAAATAAAGTATTTGTTTGTTTTATTTTTCAAACATTTCAATAAAAAAATTTATATTTCATTTTAAAAAAATTTTAAACTCTCTATAACATAATTTCACTTTTTCTATGTGAGCATTGGAGTATAAACCTTTCTTTTCTGGAAGGCACAAACATAAACTCTTTTTTTTTTTTTTGAGAAATTTCTGGATAATTCCGGTTGGGTCTCCGGTCCAACCCCATCTTGTTGAGCAAGCAAATCTGGTCTAAGTTTACAAGAGGCCGCCAGACAAAAACCTCGGTAACCAAAATTTTACCTGCCCATTATCAGAAAATCCCCATTCTTTCGTTCTTCTTCTTCTTCGTGGAGCTCTAGGGTTTTGAGGGCGCGAGCGGTTCAGGGATGGTAATTACTCTTTCTTCTCTTTTCTTTATTTGTCTCTGTAACGTAGATTCAATTAAGGTCCGGTTCCACCGATTTTTTCCTCTCCCATTTAATCATAGTCAATGAAATCTCATTAAATTTATAGGAAAGTTCTGTTCTTTATTTGCTTCCCGATCTTACCGGCCATGTCTGATATATATATGTGATGCTTTTAGTTCATACAATTCCTGCTGACCTTTATTCATTTTTTCGACCTTTTTTGTGGTTAAGTTCAAATCGTTACTGACCCTTTCATCCTTTATGATCACTAATCAGTCCATTTACTAGAAGATTTTGAGATGATTTTGAATTCCGTTCTCCAAAAAGCGCTAGGCTTCCCTTAGTGTTATACTAGAGCCGAGTGCCTATTCGTGATGACTAAATTGTGATTATTTTAGGCAAAGATATATATTAGGCGTCCCTTAGGGGTATACTTATAAAAACTGCTCAGTTCCTTGCACACTGCAGGCTTAATTCATAAGAAGTTTCATGCTTTATCAGGCATTGAGTCTTAAACGAAAAGTTTGAGATTTATATATAGGGAGAGAGGGAATAGTTTTTTTTTTTTTGAGAAAATTACCTAAGATAGTAAGATAGGACTAAATCATTGTAGATTTACATGAATGGAACCAATTTTTATTTTTACACGGACGGGGCCTATAAGGTCCTATTCCCGTGCATCGCATTGCTTCCATGCCAATTTTACCCTTACGTTCTTTATCTTTTTTAAGGAAGAGAGAACATAGGCGTGTGGGCAATTTAGTCAATTTATGTAGGTTTTAGTCCCATGTTTAAAATGATTCCTGTTTCTGTCAACTAGCCTTGCTCAGGGGCGGATCCAGTGCAAGGCCATGGGGGGCACTTGCCCCCAGTCAAAGCCTATAATTATCAAGAGTTTACATTGGTTAAGTTGATGGTGCCCCCATTCTAAAATGTGTGCTGCCCCCACTAATTTTTTTAAGTTTTACTCTTCAAATACAAAAAAAAAAGTTGGGAACAAAATAATGTGTATATTTATATTTCTTTACATTGATAACAAACATTTCAATATTAATTTCATTAAACAAATAACATTGTACTCCTAAGCAAGTTCTTATTTAATGTACAGGTTCATACTTATTTTATGATCCTTAATACAGAGTTGCTATAAAATTAAATAAATATTAAACTTACATATCATAATTNCATTCTAAAATGTGTGCTGCCCCCACTAATTTTTTTAAGTTTTACTCTTCAAATACAAAAAAAAAAGTTGGGAACAAAATAATGTGTATATTTATATTTCTTTACATTGATAACAAACATTTCAATATTAATTTCATTAAACAAATAACATTGTACTCCTAAGCAAGTTCTTATTTAATGTACAGGTTCATACTTATTTTATGATCCTTAATACAGAGTTGCTATAAAATTAAATAAATATTAAACTTACATATCATAATTTTTTTTATAAATTATATTATGTTATAAAAATCATACACATAAAATTACATTTTTAAAATAATTACAAACACGCAAGTAACAGCCAACCATCAACTTCCAAACAAAGCCTTAGTTTATTAGCATTATTAATGATTGTTTAAATATAATCTGAACGTGAAATCTTTAAATTTTGATAAATGAAGTCTAATTATAGAGTAATATATTGTGTAAATTACATTTTACCATTTTAGAACATTTTAATATAAATTTTAAAAAAAATGATTTCAGATGAATCTAGAATATATTTTTTCATTTTACGGTGGCTGTTTATAAAAAAAAATCCATGGGGTGGAGTGGAGGCGGACTACCATGAACCTTAGTACTAATGTGCCCCCGGTCATATTAATTTCTGGATCCGCCACTGGCCTTGCTTAAGTCCTATTCTTGTAATTTTCTCTAGTTTTTTATGCATTGGCTATGCTGATGAGGCATGAGCAATGCATGTGGTTGACCCCATTGGTAGAAGCAAACTTTGGTCATCAATGGGGATGTTTGTAATTATTAAAGCAACACACTTTCCTTCAATTGTACAACAACAACAACAAATGAAGTATAATCCCAACGGAGGTTGGAGGGGTCAATATGTATGTAGCCTTACCTTTGTAAAGAAGCAAAGATGGTCTTTTCTTTCAGACCCTTGATGCATTGCTGCATTTACTTCCCAAAACCTCATAAAAAGACGAAGGGAAGTGTAATGTTTCATTTTGATTATGTCCGTGATTTTCCTAAAGCTAAAACATTGTAAAAAATGAGTCTTCTAACTTCATTGGCGATGGACGAACTTTCTTTTAGCTGTGTAATCTAAATATATTGCAGGCGACCCCATTGATAGCTGGAGCAGCCATTGCAGCAGCTGCTTATGCGGGAAGGTATGGGATTTTAGCATGGCAAGCTTTCAAGGCAAGACCACCGACTGCAAGAATGCGTAAATTTTATGAAGGAGGTTTCCAGCCTAAAATGACAAGGAGGGAAGCAGCTCTTATTCTCGGTGTCAGGTATGCTTTGCTCTTTTCTTACTCAGACACAACGCGTAAAAATTGACTGCCAGGTGCCAATTAACTTTTTAATCTTCCAAAGCTATGCTTGCACTTCAAAGATTTCCTCTTGCAGTTCCTTTGAATTTAAATATACTCTGTATTATCTTGATTCTAGATACATTAATGTAGTTATCATTTTCATATTTAATAATTCTAAAGATAAATTTATGTGTGGCATCATTAACTACTATTACTTTACCATTTCGTATAATGATCCAAGTACAACAATACAACAAATTTCCACTGTCTGTTTCTTTACTGCTTACCATTTGCTTCAGACTTTAGTTATTCATTTTTTCTTATTCTACGTTTAAAGAAATAAGAAATGTTCTATATCAAAAGCTCAATGTTGGAGAGCTTTTCGAAAAGATTTGATGCCTATGTAAATATAGAAAAGGAAAGATGACTGCTTTGTTTAGAATTTTTCACATTCCACTTTTTCGTCAACGGTGTTCGTGAATTAATTTATTTCGTTTAGTCGTTAACTACTCGATGATGTGAACAGAGAGAGCACTCCACAAGACAAAGTGAAGGAAGCTCATAGGAGGGTAATGGTAGCTAATCATCCAGATGCAGGGGGCAGCCATTATCTCGCTTCCAAAATTAACGAGGCAAAGGACACTCTTCTTGGAAAGACAAGAAATGGCGGGTCTGCATTTTGATCTTGAGCCGCGGCATTCTTCCGAAAGACTGAATCCCAGAAAGACTGAATCCCAAAATCTCTATCCTTGGAGTTGGACACTTTTAATCAAATCGCTCTTTCGGTTATGTACTGAAGTTTCTATATTTTCCTGTATCCATCCATGGAAGAATTTTGCTGAATCCCAAGATATATGAGAATACAACTGTAGTATTTTATTTGCTTTGTAAATACTGTATCATTTACATTTGAATGCAAATGACTGGTATGTGCATCAAAGGGTCTTTTTTTGACCCACAAGATGTGTTTGGTTAGACAATGGTATTAATTAATTATTAAATGATGTATTAGCAAAAGAGTCCAAATAATCTAGGAACTTTTACAAGTACCAAAAATTTAAATTTGTGATTAATGTTTAGAGTTTTCTTGACTCATCAATTCTAGATTAAGCAGATTTAAGTTATGTTTGGTCTGAGAAATTTGGAAGGGAAGAAAGAACAATGTTTCTCTTCCCCAAAATTGAAACAAATTTGTTTTCTCTCATTCTCTTCCTTCAAATTTTTAATTCTATTTCTCTCTAACAACAAAACAAAGAAAAATATTTTTTATATTGTTTTTCTTTTCTTTTTAATTTCAAATTTCGTGAACCAGAACATAGTGTTCGAAACGCAAATCAATGTCAAGCACGTAGATTATGATGTTTACCGCTTTGGTCAATTTTTGTACGTTTATGCTTGGCGTACACGAAATTTGTTGTATTTTTTGCAATGCACAAACACAACTAGTCTAATTATTTCTTTCATCTCAAATTAAACTTCTTACCTTAATTTTCATAGTAATTACAAAAAAAATAAAATCTATTATTGAGATATTGATATGAGAAAAATAATGTGAATAGGTTTCTGTTTGGGCCAGATACATTTATTTAACGAAAGGCCCAATTGGATAAGGCGCCTCCGGCAGACAGGACGGTCGTCGATCCCCAAAAAAGCAGGCGGCGTCCCCCCTACCCGCCATCTCCGGCCAACGGCACTGTTCCGATCTCCAAGCGCGGCGTTTCTTTGGAGGCGTTAGACCGGAGGTTCGCTCAAGCCGAATCCGATCTTCGCCGTCAATAGGAGCTCCAGAGCAAGAAGCAAAGAACTAATACTAGCGCCACTCCTACTGGAAATCAAACTCCTGATAAAATGGCTCAGAAACAGCTTGTCCCCAATACACAGACTTCGAACACACCATCTAAGAAAGGTTAGTTTTTTGTGTCTAAATCATTAAAAATTCCATCTTGAAATCATGTCCCCCCACAATTTGATGGTTTTTGTGTGCCCCAATGCGCATTTAGTAAAACCCATTTTTTTTAATGTTAGATTATGTTATGAGTATATAGCCTTTAGTGGGTTGAATTGGTTCTTTGACATCGTAACAGGGCCTTCTTGGCCAATAGAGGTCACGAGTTCGAAAACCATGGTTGAATTGGTGAATTGATGAGCTATATATAAAGATCGAAAACTTTAGGTCATTCATTACTGATGTTGGGATTTGATTTCTTGAGCCTATAAAGATGAAGAATTAAGTGTTTCCACATTCTTTTACTAAGCATGCACTAGAGCTATGAAGCAGCAGTGTGTTACCATGACTTCACTATGTGTGTGTGCGTGTGTGTTCTTCAACATGGATTGGATTCTGACTTTCTGTTATTTGCTAGTTGAAGCTTGTGAAAAAAAGATCTTTCTATGTATATGATGTTTGTTCAATTTCATGCTTTTTTCAGGGATTGTTTCATTTATAGGTCATTCCTCATCACACGATACAATCCTATTTTACAATTTTATTTTTTCACTTTGAGGTATTAATAAAACCAATGTTTCTTCTTGGGGGATCATTTCTAGGTGTTGAGATGTTTCCCCCCTAATAATGTAACAGATATAGAATCAAATCATCTGGCATACCTCCAACTCGCTCATTCAGTTGATATCATGGTAGTCAAACTCGCGAGTTGACTCGTACGAGTCTACAAGTCTGAGAATCGCCGGTAGCTTACCGATCCAAGACGGCTGCAGAATCGCGAATTCCATGGAATCGTCTGGATCGACGATTCGGCTCATAGAAACGCAGGATCGGGTTCAATTGCCGAGTCTGAGAAGGCCAAACAGCATCTCTTCAAAATCTCCTTGCAATCGCGTCTGGAATTGCAATTGGAAAGTCGCGTCTGTTGCGACTCCCAATTCCGATCGGAAACAGAGTATCTCCCTTTATTTATTCCCATTTTCAATAGGAAAGCAGCGTGAATAGCGTATCAGCCGTATCTTCTTCTATTTATTTGGGAATCGAGACTTCTCTGCCAGTGATAATTATGTTTTAGATGTTTAAGAATAAAGTTTTAAGTCATTTGTGATCCAACTTGAACTTGTGTTATGTTTTATTAAAATTTAATTAAAACATTAAATGTGTGTGTGTGTGTGTGTATAGTAGGATCTTACGATCCGAGTCACGATCTTACGATGTTACGATCTTCATTATGCTTATCGATCCTACGTAGAATCTAGAGTTTGACTACCATGGTTGATATGAATCTTCTTTCGATGGTTGGCGAGGTAATATTATTCTTAAATTAGATTTAACGATTGGACATGCCTCTAGAGATGTTCTTTGATGAGATCTTAGTTTAAAATGTGCTTGGTTACTATAGGTTGCTAATGATAGAAGCACAGTTGATTATGTACTGCATGAGCTTCTTCAACACGGCGATTCGAACTAAAAGTGTGAAAATGGCCAACTATATTCTTCTAGGTAATGTTGTGCAAAAAAGTTATATGTCTAATGATGCGTCCTTGAGGGCTTTAAAGAGTCAGTCGAAACGGTCCAAAACGCGTATGTCACTAAAGCAACACAAAAAATGTAAATCATTCGATTTACCTCCGGAGTTCCATAAGTGAGTTTCCTACTTTCTTGCCGAAGTCTATAATTGTAGTTATTTATAAACCCTTTTAGTAATTGTGTTGTGATTCCAGGTGGGCATAGGAGTATACTCCTTTACTGGCTTGGATTTTTGAACATTGTATGACAATGATCTGAGTAGCAAAGTGATACTTCTCATATTTGAATTTGATAGCTCTCTAACGTTTTAGGGTCTGTTTGGAAAGGAAATAGAGAGGAAAATACATAATAAATTTGGAGAAAAGAAAATAGTACTCTAAGTTATATCACATTCGTAATGTAAACACTTGATTTTCGTGAAAAGGAACTTGTACTTAAAGAACAAAGTGTTTTAAGAAAACGTCTAAAGACTTGGAAAAATAGGCAGAGGTGACTTTTTTTACCATTTTCACCTCCACTTTATTTTACCACTTTTCTGTAATCGATTGAAATGTGGCCATGTGACAGATTCCTTGATGCCATTGTGGTTGATAATTTATTACATTGGACAAATAGTTTGTTTTCATGTTTTTCTTAAATCTGGCTATCCTCTACTTACTTTCTTTACCCCTTTTGGTTACTTTGTAGGCATGAGATCTACAAACCAATGCATGAAATGTGGAAGTGCTACATATAGAAACTTATAAGAAGTGCTGGGTAACAATTTATTTTAACTTTCTCTGAAGTGCTGCATTTTTTTACCAGTTACTGCGCCTCTCATTACTCCATTGTTATTGATTCCTCCTGCTATTTTTGACTTGTTGGATTTGCCTTGCAGGAAAAATCAGATGGCACAAACTCTCCTGAATGTAGACTATCACGGTGCACAAATTCTTGGTTGATCTAGACACTAATTTTTTTATTTGTACACTACAATGATTCATATCTAGGTGTGCACGTTAAAAAGCTGCAAAACCATTTATTACTTCAATTGCAGAGTGCAAGCTAGATGGGTATACGGGACTGCGTGGTATCATGATCCGCGAAACTGCAGAAACATTCGGAATAATAACAGAAGACAATAGATTCAAGGGTTACTGTCACTCTTTTAGCATTCAAAGTCTGTTTCTTTAAACTTAACTCTTTGGAAACAAACAAAAATTGTTGATAGGCAAATTCTTCTATGGACCTTAGGAACATGGAAGCACAACTCTTGCTGATAAGTATAATCCATTAATTCTCATTTGTTCATTGTAATGATGATTTGCAGTAGTGCCCAAGAAGCTCTCTGTCTTCATGCTTCAAGGGGATTCATGGAAGGTTACAATGACCGGCGACAAACTTGCTTCAAGAAGCATGGTTTCATAGGTGGTGTGTAGTATTAATTTTTACACATCTTGCAGAACATGTGACATTAACTTTCAGTTTCATGATTTTCATCTGGAATAGAAGGGACATGCCCAAAATTAAAAGAATAAAAATCTTGAAAAGAAAAGGTTATTTTTGTTTCCTACAATAAAAAGAGATAAGATATGGATCATATTTCAAAGAAACTAAAGAATCTCATACAAGACCACAAAGCATGGCAATATAGCTCTTGAATCCAAAACCATAAGCTTCTCAGATCCATCCATATACTCCACAGAATCAAAAGTGTCATCTTTTTCTTCTTCCCCACTCACTATATTGCCATTGCTGCAGCGAGCAACGCGACCTGCAATCACTCTGCAAACCACAATCGCCGCTCTCATGTTTCCATGGCCGCATTTCTCAACTCTTCTGTGAGCTCTCCAACTCGTCTTGGAAAGCGTCACCGGCGACCTCCACATTGCTTCACTGTTCATACAACCACCTATGGTCCTACACACCCCACAACTCTTCCTCCTACAAGTGGTCGAGAATCGATCAAACCCTAACAAACAAGCAATGCCAGTTCCCATATACCTCAACACCTCATTTCCATCCCTTCTTACGCCGCTCTCTCTCCCCTTTGACTTCACAATCTTTCTGTAAACTTCAAACCTCTTATAAACCGCTTCGCCACAATTCACCCTAAAAACTTTTTGAATTCTATACCCAACACTGTGCTTCCACCCAGCGCGAAAAATCGCGTCCACTTCGGCGACCTCTTCTAATGGTTCAATCTCTTTGAACCTTGGAAAAGAAAGAACCCTTTTTGCATGGGAATCAAAACTCTCTTGGGGTTTAGGGTTTTGATTCTTCTTTGGAGAAGGAGGAGGAAGAGGGGTTCTCTCTCTTTTTGGGGAAATGGCACTTGACTTTGGCTTGAAACATCTAATGGTGGAACTTGGGTGGCAAACCAGGATTGCTAAAGAAGTCACCATCAGACATTTTTCTGACATTGTTGGTGCTTAATTACATACTCAATTCAAAAGGGTGATGAGAAATGTTTGCATGGAATATTATATACTTGGATGTATATTATTTAAGGTAATGAATGATAAATATTTATTCATTAATGTAAGAATTAGACATTTGAAATTCGAAAAAAAAATTTGTGATTTCTTAATGACTCGAGTTGCCATCAAAATTAATGCCTTGATTTATGTTAAGCTAGAGCTTTAATTACTCCCCAAGAAGTAAAACTGCATAAAGAAAAAAAAAGAACTTTATATGCAATGACTTTTATTGAGTATAATAAAAAAATGTAGCTAAAAAAATTCTCTTTTTCTTAATATATTTCAACCATACTCCCTTTTTTTTGTCTAACATTTTTCTTAAACTGTGTGAATGCCCATTTTTTATAAGATGCGATAGAAATCATTAATATTTGAAGAAATCAACACTAATCAAAAGTAAAATCATTAACACAAAAAAAATAGAGATTTGAAAATTTACACAAGGAAAGTGTATCTTCAAATGTACTAACTAATATTATTCGATATTTACAATCCGTTTTATCCAATTCACATATGATTAAGAATTTATTATTGAGAAAAAACTGTAAATTTTAGAAATCAATCACGAATTATTTTATTATACCAAAAGATCCAAAACTTCAATCATTAATCACGTGATTCACATCAACAATGCATCCAAAAAAATCCATTCATAAGGTCTAAAGAGGTCGGTTATGCGTAAAAATTTAAAATTTATTAAATAATGTTAATTAGAGACGTAATAGTGATTAGCAATACGAGTATTAATTAATTTTGGATTTTTTAGTTTCATTTTATTTTTCTTAACATTTTCTTTTCCTTTTCTAACTTTTTGAATCCGATATAATATGTAATACAATACTCCCTCTTCTGTCCAAAAAAGAATGTCACAATTATTATTTTGACATCTCGATAACTTTTGTTTGTTTACCAGTTTTGGTTAACCATTTCATAAATAATGCTAAAGTTTTGTAATAAACTCTAGCATGATTTTTTCTAAATAACTTTTAACTTTAACGTTCTTTAATGTTAATTTCCATCATTGAAAATTTGAAATTAACCCAAAAAGCTACATATAAAACGAGATCAACATTTTCATAATGTTAAAACTAAACAATGTAGCATACTATTTTTAGTGAATAAGAGTCTGTTTGGGAATATCGTTAGAGATGAGCGTAAGCGTTTTGAAAAGACTATCTACAGTCAGCGTTTAGCTCTAGCGTTTTCAAAGTAATCTACACCGTTAAAATTTTATCCAAAACGCTAACATTAATCTCTAATGTTATTCCCGAACATATCCTAAATAATTATGTAAAATTTGCACTAAATATGACTAAAGCATAATGACTTTCCTAATGTAGGACTTAAACTTTTTTATTTCCTAAATAAGACTTAAAAATGACTTAGTGGAAGGAATAATGTCCAGTAATGATGTACAATTACTTGAATAATGACCAAAGATTCTACATTGGAAAATAAAAACATATGGTCTTATATTGGGAAAGTCATTATGTTTTAGTCCTATTTAGGTAAATTTCTCAATAATTATTTATTATTTATGAAAACATAAAAAAAATCATTTTGAAATAGCCAATGAAAGAAAAGGAGATGACAATAAGTAAATTACCAAAAAAGGCATGGAAGTAGAACATGTGGGAGTAGCCAAGAATCTGCAGAAACCCATTTAAGTAGTTGTTGATACATACTACTGATAAATATGCAGTGCTTATTTGTGGTACAAACAGCCCAATATTTTCAATGCCCTTTTTTGACTTTTACCACTTCAAATCCTCTCCCTGACATTTTAGCTAGCTATGGACCATCTGACCTATACAGTAAAAAAATAATTAACTGACTATGTAACAAACTTCATTTTTACTATTTCTGTCGTATTACATTTATCTAGTTTGATTTTCTCGTATAAAAATAAATGAAATTTTTTATTCCAATTAGATAAAATATAAAATGTATATTAATCCAAAGCTGATGATTTCAAAATGAAGATGACTCGAACCGAACAAATTCGAACTTTTTTTTTACGAGGGTAACTTGGCTTCATAACGCAAACTTAAAACGTCAATAACCATGTGACCCGCAACCATCACTCATGTCAAACCCGACCATACCCGAATCCTGTCGTCCGAAGTCAAGCCAGATTTCGAAATCAATCTACCCTGAGCACGAACCCAATAATCTGATTACCTAGTGTGAAAAAAAAAAAAAGAGTAATTTGGTGGGGTGGGGGTGGGGGTGGGGGTGGGGTAGTAGAAAGTAGTTGGGTTGGTATAGGTCAGCCAAAAAGAAGACACATAAACATAGGAGAGAGAGAAGAGAGAGAGAGAGTAAATGTAAATGCAAGAAAAGGAAGACAGCTCATTCCCACATATAACCCCACCTTCTCCTGCCTAACGTTATACGGCACTTCCTTTGTCATGTTCCCTCTCTTTTTGCATTTTGGTCTCTTCTTTTTTTTAAAAAAAAAAAATTGATTTGATTTTTCTTTTTTATTCTGGTACTGTTGGAGAATAACGTTAGTGATTAGCGTTAACGTTTTGAAAAAGATATCTATGAGTAGCGTTTAGCGTTTTCAAAGCAATGTGCACCATTAAAATTTTATACTAAATACTAACACTAATTTCTAACGTTATTCCAAATAGACTCTCTTTCTCAAATAATTTGTTCCTTATACAATAAGTAATTGTTTATTATGTGTGCATCAATTATTTCGTTACGAGGGCTTTGTGGGCCAAAATAAGTAACATTCTAACACATAGACGGCGACGCACGCTTCTATAGGTTGAATGCAATATAAAAGCTAAGATATGCATCTTTTCTAAGATCAATTAATTTTAAAAGAATTGGTAATATAACGCGTGAAATTCTACACTAATTCTACCGCTCCAAAAAAATCGTGCTTTCTCTTGAGCTATATTTTTCTTTTTTAATAATCCCAAACATGATCTACCACATTAAAGGAAAAAAATTAGTGATTCACATAATTTCTCTAGAATATGCATAAAGTTACATTTTACTTTTTTTTTGTTTTTTTAACTTCGTAAAAAATTAAAGGAAAGTTATTTTTTGAGGGGGGATTATTTTGATTAAAAAGAGTTGGTCCCAATAAAAACGAATGAATGATATTAAGGGAAAATCAGGGATAAACTAAAAAATATACCCCCAATTAATACACCAATGCAAATATATGCATAAGGTTTGTGCCTGGAAAGATATAAATATCTATGTCTTTAAAATTAATAAAATTATATTTATAGTTTTATTTTTTTCCATAATGAATGAGTTTTATTTTGAAAATGGAGCAATTTGAGAAACACACAATTAGAAAGAATCATTTTATAAAATTAGTATAAGTTTATTATGTCATTTTGATTCCATTTGATGGTCGTTATTCAGGGCACTAAGCTTAACATATTTTCAATGACGAGTATTATCTAAATACTTAGTTTATTTTGAAAACTAATTTAGAAATATTCAAATTGAGTACCATTTTAAGATTTTACTCTATTTTTTATGATTTAATAAGGAGGAACAAAGTCAATACTTTGTATAAAGAATTAAAATAACATAGTAATACTTCGCACAAAATACATGTGCAAAATAATTTGTACTTTATATAAAAAAACAACGTACTTTCATTTATCACAACCAAAAACATTGTTTTTGAGAAGGAATTGTTCTTTCGTGGTCCCAAGGACAACACATTTGAGAGTGGATCTTTTACATTTTAGTTCTGGTGAGGATGAGATCTTATGAAAGAAATAAGAATGAATCTGGTGTTTTAGATTGTGAGATCTAAAGGTCAGAATTGCGTCAAAGTTAGGTGCACCAAAATAGTTTGAAAATGCATCATGTCGAAATGCACCAAAATCTTTTGAAAATGCACTATATCAAAATCTGAGCGCAAGAAACAATCTGAGCCGCACAATGCTCCAGATCCAAAGGCTTGATTTTATTATTATTTCTTTCACCAGGGTGCATTTTCACGTGAACCGACCCCATATATAACTTTGTATGTGTGTGTATATACATACAGACATACATACATACAAACATACAAACATACATACATACATACATACATACATACATACATACATACATACATACATACATACATATATATATATATATATATATGTATGCATGCATGCATGCATGTATGTATGTATGTATGTATATGTATATCTCACCTTCTTCGTTCTAAAATAATCTTTATATTTAAATTTTTTTACTCAAATTTTACAAATGTTGATCGAAATATGTAGATTTGATACATATCAACTTTTTATAGTATTTATTTATGTACATTCATACTCCCTCTGTCCACATATGAAATACCTAGACATTATTAATACGATAAAATTTATTTGCTTATTTTTACTACTCATTTTATATTATATAAAAAAATTAACCTAAATAAGAGTAAAACATTGAAAAAATAACAAAATAGGAGCTCCATGTTTTTATCCGTAAAATAGGAGTTTGCACTTTGCTAATATGGCACTGTATATGAACATTTCACAAATTTTTTTAGTAATGTATATGATCATGATTGACACTGTAAATGCATTTTAACTCATATTTAGATAACAAAAATATGAAACTCTAATTTTGACATATTTTCAATATTTATTCCTACTTTAGTATTTTTCCATAATATAAATTAGGCATGTCACCTATTGTTTTAAAAAAGTTTTGTGTAGGTTTAAAATATATAAATTCTATTTTTTAATTCTACACATATAATCAAATAAATCAAGTTCAAAATAGAATTGGCCAAGGGTCGTAAACTAGAATTAGTAATTCAAATTGAGATGGAGTGAGTATTTATTAATGGTCAAAATGAAGATTCATTTTTATTTGGGAATTGACCTTTTGA